AAAAACCCTACTAAGTAGTCATTTTTATTTCCATGCCAGGAAAACAAGCCTCACAACAATAAAATACCCAACCTGTCCAATAGCACAGTGCAGATGAACGACAGACCTGGGAGCCAGACCATGGCCTGCTTATCAATTCCATCTTAAGCTCATCCATTCTATCAGGCCATGGTGCTACTCTTTAAAGAGAAACATCATATGGAGACTCTGACTGGAGGCAGCCCTGGGCAGGCTTGAATGGAATAGGAAAGTGACACATGGCATAAGACCCATCCATTCCAGCTGGGTAGACTGTGGGAAGCTGGCTCTGCTCCTGGGGCTGACTCTGGAAGTACAAAAACAGTAGCTGATGCCTGTATGGCATTTACTACATACCAGGAACTGTTCTAAGCATTTTACATATAATAACTTTTTTAATCCTCACAAAACTCAATGAAGTAAATACAGGCATACCTCAAAGGTATTTTGGGTTCAGTTCCGGATCATCGTAAGACAGAAATATCACAATAAAGCAAGTAACATGAGTTTTTTGGTTTCTCCCTCCCACTTTATTTTATTTTAAAAATGTGGAGTACAAGTCAGGATAAGGTACACAAGTGGTCTACATACAGGCGAAGTTTGGGCCTCTCACGGGTCCTCACTTCCTCTGTTTAGGATCAGGTGCCCTTAATGATGTTATGTGCCCCTTCCCCTGGCAGTGTCCCGCTTCTGTTGATCCCTCTCTTGTAGTATTGTGATTAATGTTCAGGACCCACTTATGAGTGAGAACATGTGGTACTCAGTTCTTTGTTTTCGTGATAGATCACTGAGTGTGATGGACTCTAAAGCCATCCAAGTTGCTGCAAAGTCCATAATTTTGTCCTTCTTTATGGTTGGGTGATATTCCATTGTGTATGTTCCACTTTTTAAAAAAATCCAGTCCACTTTTGATGGGCAGCATGGTTGGTTCCATGTTTCAAATTTTTTGGTTTTCCAGTGCATATAAAAGTCACATTTACACTATTAGGTGCACAGTAATATTATGTCTTTTAAAAAGTATACATGCATTAATTTTAAAATACTTTACTGATAAAAAGTTCTAGCCATCATAGGAGAGTCTTCAGTGAGTAGTAATATTCTTGCCATGATGGTGATGGGTGCTGACTGACCAGTGTGGGTGGTTACTGAAAGTTGGTTAGCTGTGGCATTTTAAAAAAATAAGACAATAGGCCAGGCTTAGTGGCTCAGCCTGTAATCCTAGCACATTAGGAGGCTGAAGCGAGTGGATTGCCTGAGCCCGTGGGTTCGAGACCAGCCCGGGAAACTCGGCAAGACCTCGTCTCTACAATAAATCAAAAACTAGCCAGGCATGGTAGCACATGCCTATAGTTTCAGCTATTTGGAAGGCTGAGTTGGAAGGATCGCCAGCACCAGCGGGTTGACACTGGGGTGGCCATGAGTGTGCCACTGCACTCCAGCCTGGACAACAGAGTGAGACTCCAACTCAAAAATAAATAATAAGACAACAGCCACATTGATTGACTCTTCCTTTCATGAAAGATTTTTGTGTAGCATGTGATACTATTTGATTGTATTTTATCCACAGTAGAACTTCTTTCACAATTAAAGTCAATCCTCTCAAACCCTGCCACTGCTTTATCGACTCAGGTTATGTCATATTCTACATCCTTTGTTGTCATTTCAGCAATGCTCACAGTGTCTTCACCAGGAGTAGATTTTATCTCGAGAAACCACTTTCTTTGCTCATTCATAAGAAGCAACTCCTCATCTGTTCAAGTTTTATCATGAGGTGAAAGCAATTCAGTCACCTCTTCAGGTCTTACTTTTTTTTTTTTCTTGAGTTGGAGTCTCACTCTGATGCCCAGCCTGGAGTGCAGTGGCAGGCTCATGGCCACCCCAGTGCTGACCTGCTGAGCTCAGGTGATCCTTTCGCTTTCCAAGTAGCTAGAACTACAAGTGCGCACTACCATGCCCAGCTAATTTTTTGATTTATTGAAGAGATGAAGTCTCACCAAGTCACCCAGGCTGTTTTTGAACCCATGGACTCAGACAATCCCTTCACCTCAGCCTCCCAAAGTGCTGGGATTACAGGCTTGAGCTACCACACCTGACCCATGTCTCACTTCTTATCCTAAATCTCTTGCTGATTCCACAAGCTCTTAAGTTACTTCCTGCACTGAAGTTTTAAGCCCCTCGAACTCATCCATGATTCCAAAGTTTGGAATTAACTTGTTCCCAGCTGCTATTAATGTTGATATTTTGATCTCCCATGAGTCACAAATATTCTTAACGGCATCTTGAATAATGCATTCTTTTAAAAATGTTTTTAATTTTCTTTGCCCATATCCAAATAGACTTGAACATCAAAATTAGTCCTTTACTCATTGGGCTGTGGAATGGATATTGTGTCAGCAGGCATGAAAACATTAATCTCCTTGTGGATATCCATTAGAGGTCTCGGGCAATCAGTTGCATTGTGCATGAGCAGGAATATTTTGAAAGTAATCTTTTTTTCTGAGCAGTAGGTCTCAACAGTGGGCTTAAAATATTCAGTAATCTATCCTGTAAACAGTTGTGCTGTCATCCAGGCTTTGTTTTTCCATGTGTATTGCACAGGCAGAGTGGCTTTAGCATACTTCTTAAAGGTTCTAAGATTTTCATAATAGCAAAAATGAGCACTGGCTTCAACTTAAAATCACTCTCTGCATTACCCCTAACAAGAGAAGAGCTAGCTTGTCCTTTGAAGCTTTGAAGCCAGGCATTGACTTCTCCTCTCTAGTTATGAAAGTCTTAGGTGGCATATTCTTCCGATAGAAGGCTATTTGGTCTACATTGAAAATCTGTTTAGTGTAGCCACCTTCATCGATGACCTTACCTAGATCTTCTGGATAACTTGCTGCAGGTTCTCCACCAGCACTTGCTGCTTCACCTTGAACTTTTATGAGTTGTGGAGACAACTTCTTTCCTTAAGCCTCATGAACCAACCTCTGTTAACTTTAAACTTTTCTTTGCAGCTTCCTCACCTCTCTCAGCCTTCTTAGAATTGAAGAGAGCTAGGGCCTTGCTCTTGATTAGGCTTTGGCTTAAGGGAAGGTTGTGGCTCATTTGATCTATCCAGACCACTGAAACTTCCTCCATATCAGCAGTAAAGCTGTTTTGTTTTCTTATCACTTGTGCATTCACTGAAATAGCACTTTTAACTTCCCTTAGTAATTTTTCCTTTATATTTCCAACTTGGCTAACTATTTGGTGCAGGAGGCCCAGCTTTCTGCCTGTCTTGACTTTTGACATGACTTCCTCATTTCTAGCTTTTGATTTAAAGTGAGATACATGCCAGGCGTGGTGGCTTATGCCTGTAATCCCAGCACTTTGGGAGGCTGAGGCAAGAGGATTGCCTGAGCCCAGGAGTTCAAGACCAGCCCGGGCAACTTGACAAGCCCTTGTCTCTACAATAAATAAAAAAAAATTATCTGGATGTGGTGGTACATGCCTGTAGTTCCAGCTACTTGGAAGGCTGAGGTGGAAGGATCACCTGAGCCCAGCAGGTCAAGGCTGTGGTAGCCGTGAGCTTGCCACTGCACTCCAGCCTGGATGACAGAGTGAGACTTCTACTCAAAGAAAAAAAGAAAAAGAAAAGGCCACACTCAGGAATGGGGCTAACTCCTGTGGAGATAGGTGAGGGTGGGAGCAGGCACAAGGGTCATGGTGGCTGGAATAGCCTGGGCTGCCAGGTCGACGCCCATGGCTGCAGCGGCCTGGGCTAGGGACCCACCACAACTCTGTCACCAGAGAGGGAGGGCCCCACTAGCTGTTGTTGGGGAACCTACCCCAGAGAAGCGACAGGATTTTCCCAGGTCTCCTGCCCAGCAAGCCAGCTCCAAAGCCCCAGGTGTGGGTAGATGAGGACGGTGGTCCTTGCTTTCACGTGTTAAGGTAACTCTGTTGATCCACCATCTGCTGGATGCTTTCAGAGCCCTACTGACTGGAGTTTAGGCCCAGTGGTGTTGAGAGGCACCTGATAATTCTTGAATCTGTGAGACTTTCAGGTCTACACTGACCCTTTGTGGCCACCAGCAGGACATCAGTATCAAAGGAACCATCTGGTATTGCTCTGTACCCTCAACTTTTGGGGTGAGGAGAGAGGATAAAAAATGATGAACCAACACATGAAAAAGTGCTCAGTCTCACTAATCATCAGAGGAATGCAAATCAAAACCTCACTGAGATACCACCTAACCCCAGAAAGAATGGCCATTGTTAACAAAACAAAAAAATAATAGATGCTGGTGAGTATGCACAGGAAAGGGAACACTTCTACACTGCTGGTGGGAATACAAACTAGTTAAACCTCTGTGGAAAATAGTGTGGTGATTCCTAAAAGAACTAGAAATTGACCTTCCATATGACCCAGCAATCCCCCTACTGGGAATATACCCTAAGGAACTCAAATCATTCTACCAAAAAGATACCTGCACATGTATGTTTATTGCAGCACTGTTCACAATAGCAAAACAAGGAACCAACCGTGCTACTCACTGAAACTGGACTGGATAAGAAAAATGTGATATAAACCGGGCTCGGTGGCTCAGCCTGTAATCCTGTGCCTTTGGGAGGCTGAGGTGAATGGATTGCCTGAGCCCGCGGTGGTTCGAGACCCACCCGGGCAACTTGGCGAGACCTCATCTCTACAATAATTTAAAAAAATCAGCCAGGCATGGTAGTGCATGCCTGTAATTCCGGCTACTCGGAAGGTTGAGGCAGAAGGATCACCGGAGCCCAGTAGGTCGAGGCTGCGGTGGCCGGGAGCGGCCACTGCACTCCAGTCTGGGCGAATGAGTGAAACTCCAACTCAAAAAAAAAAAAAAGAAAAAGAAAAACGTGGTATATATACATGATGGAATATTATGCAGTCACACAGAAGGACAAACATATGGACTTTGCAGCAAATTGATTTAGAGTCTATCATACTTAGTGATCTATCACAGAAATCTTTGAGTAAGATGCTAAAAGACCTTGCTCCACAAACAGGAGATGGTGATTCATATGCTCTCCAAGGAGAGTGGGTATGTTAAATATAGAAACAAAGAACCAAGTACCATATGTTCTTACTCATAAGTGGATCCTGAACATTTACCATAATGCTATAAGAAAGGGATTGGCAGTAGCGGGATACTGCCAGGGGAGGGGAATGGGGCACACAACATCAATTGTATCTGATCTCAAACCAGGCAAAATGGGGACCCAAAGGAGGCTCAAACTTTACCTGTACAATGACCACTTGTATGCCTAATCCTGAGTTGTACCCCACATCCATAAAATAATTTTAAAAATTAAAAAATTTTAAAAAAATAAAGGGAGAGACATGCAACTCTTCCTTTCTTTTCTTTTTTTTTCTTTTCTTTATTTCCTCCCCGAGTTGGAGTCTTACTCCGTCGTCCAGGCTGGAGTGCAGTGGCACACTCATGGCCACCCTCAGCGTCGACCTGCTGGGCTTCTGCAATCCTTCCGCCTCAGCTTTCCAAGTAACTGGAACTACAGAAGCGTGCTACCATGCCTGGTTAATTTTTGATTTGTTGTATAGACGAGGTCTCGCCAAGTTGCCCAGGCTGGTGTTGAACCTGCGGGCTCAGACAATTCACTCGCCTTGGCCTCCCAAAGTGCTGGGATTACAGGCTGTCACTGAGCCCTGCCAACAACTCTTCCTTTCACTTCAACACTCAGAGATCACTGTAGAGTTCTTAATTGGCCTAATGTCAACATTGTTGTATCTCAAAGAATAGGGAGTCCTGAAAAAAGAGAGAGAGAGAGTCGGGAGAATGGCCAGTGTGTGGAGTAGTCAGAACACACATTTATTGATTAAATTCGTGGTCTTAATATTTATGGCACCCTAAAACAATTACAATAGTAACATCAAAGATCACTAAACACAGACCAACATAACAGATACAATAATAATGAAAAGGTTTGAAATATTGTGAGAGCTACCAGAATGTGACACAGAGACACAAAGCGAGCACATGCTGTTGGAAAAGGGGAGCGTATAGACCAACTTGAAGGTGGGTTGCCACAAACATTCAACTTGTAAAAAACACAATATCTGCAAAGTATGATAAAATGAAGTATGATAAAATGAATTACAATAAAATGAGATATGCTTATATTGTTATTGTTCCCATTTTCCAAATTATTTTTTGAGTCGGCGTCTCATTCTGTCACCCAGACTGGAGTGCAGTGACCGCTCATGGCCACCCCAGCATCCGCCTGCTGGACTCAGGCGATCCTTCTGCTTCAGCCTTCCAAATAGCTGGAACTAGAGGCATGCACTACCATGCCTGGATAATTTTTTTGTTTGTGGTTTAGCGTAGAGATGAGGTCTCACCAAGTTGCTCAGGCTGTTCTCGAACCCTTGGGCTCAGGCAGTCTGCTCACCTCGGCCTCTCAAAGTGCTGGGATTACAGGCTTGAGCCATCACACCTGGACTTTTGTTCCCATTTTATAGATGAAGGAACTGAGGCCCCAACAGGTAAATTGCCCAAGGAGAGAATTATATAAGAGCATGAATATCAGAAGATAGAATTGGAAGCCATCTTAGATGGTGCTTACTCCAGTCACATAGTAAGTGGTAGAACAGAAATTCACACCCAGACGTTTAATTCCAAAGACCATGCCCTTAACCCCAAGACTATGTGGCATCTTGTTTAACAGGCAGTAGCTGAATCCCTGCTATGTGCACAGCTCTGTGCACAGGTAGTACAGAGATGAAACTGACTTCATGTCCAAGCTCATTTATGATTTTGTACCAGAATTTCCAATTCATTGGGCATCAAGTTGGGTGACAAGACTCTTCTTTCAGAGAGCTGGTTTGCAGGGACAGGCTCCAGGCAGAGATGGGGGACTAGACACTGTCACAGAGTAACGGGGCATAACATAGTGGGAGTGGGAGGTGCTGAGACTTGGTTGGCAGTGCAAGGGCTCAGAAGTCCTGCCTGGACCTCTAGATCAGGAAGAGTGACTTAATTCTAAATTCTACCGACAGGATTTAGGGACCACACCTACAAATCAGTGGGAGGTCTCTTCTTTGGAATTGGCTAAGATTTCTAATCTCTGCTAAGATTTCTAGTGTTAGATGTTCACTTACTCAGTTATCCATCCATCCTTCTGCTCACTCGTTCATGAGCTGGAGAAAATATATTTGCCAGGACTCTTAGAACTGCTATATGTGGTCAGAAGGAATATGCTGATAAGCTGATTGGGATGAAGGATAAGATGCTCAAAGACCTTGCTCAACGAACAGGAGATGGTGATTCCTGTGCTTTCCAAGGAGAGAGGTTTTGTTTTGCTGAGTAAGGTTGTGCAAGTCTGCACCAGAGCTGAATTGCTGAGGACACGGAGAAGTCGAGTTCTGACAAAAACATACTGTTGTTACCTTGGAGGTTTTTTGTCTCTTCACATCTAACCTGTCACCATGCTCTATTCTTTTGCCTCTTAAATACCTCATCGAATCTGTGCCTATTCTAGCCCTGTTGCTGTCATTCGAGTTCAAATCCTTATCTGGCCCCACTTGAGCCATGGCAAAGATCTTCTAACTTGCCTTCCTGCCTCCCATCTCTTCTTCCTGTGTCCATTCTCCACACCACTGCTGGAGTGATCTTTCTAAAGTTTAGATCTAATTATGTGAATCCCCTGCCTCAGAATCTTTACTCCCAAAAAGTAGAGTCCATACCCCATAGCATAGCATTCAGAGTGTTTTCTAGCTTCATCAACCTGCCCCTTTCCCATTTCCCACCATTACTTAAGTTCTGTAGTAGTCACTGTCAAAAACTCCCTTCCACCAAAATGTCTTTCCTTCATTTTTCTGCTTGGAAAATTATTCTTTCGAAAAGTTGTTCTCCTTATATTGCCAAATAAGCACATCTTCAAAAATGCTTCTGGGCATTTTCACAGATTCCAGGAGAAAATATATAGGAATCATTATGCTGTCTACCATATATTTCCAGTGATCTAGCTGGGTGTGTGATATTGTTGCACTTTCTTATTCCTTGGAAGTTGGGTGTGGTATGTGACTTGCTTTGACCAGTGAAATGGGAAAAGTGGAAGGTTTTTTTTTGGTTTTTTTTTTAAGTAGTCTCACTCTGTTGCCCAGGCTAGAGTGCAGTGGCATGATCACAGCTACTGCAGCCTCTACCTGCTGGGCTCAGGCAATCCTTCTGCCTTAGCCTTTCAGGTAGCTGGAACTACAGGTGCGTGCCACCATGGTTGGCTTCAAACTCCTGGGCTCAGGCAATCCTCTCATCTCTACCTCCAAAAGTGCTGGGATTATAGGTGTGAGCTACCACGCCCAACTGAAAAGTGGAAGTTTGAAGAGCCAGTATGACTCACACACTTTCTTTCCCTCTGGCGGTTGCTTTGTCAGTCTTTATCCTAGAATAGGGAAGACAAAAATCAGAGGACCCAGCCAACCCTTGATGAATATGTAATAATAATTAAAAAGAAAACCTTGTTGTTTAAGCAACTGAATTTTAGGACTACTTTTTATTGAAGAACCCAGCCTAACCCAACGAATACAGCGTCTCTGCTTTGACATCTTCCAGTGCTTCTACTTTACCTAAACTTGTAAGACATTTTCTTTCTTTTAAAAAAATTTTTTTAAGGACACGTTTTCTGTATACCACTTATCAGGTACTAATGACATATTGCCTCATATTGCTAATTATCAATTTGCCATATGTCTTAGCCACCTCCACAGCTCTATGAGGCTTCCTGAGGGCAGGGTTAGTGCTTGTTCTATTTTATTATGACACAAAGTATGGCTCATGGTTAAGGCAGTATATTATAATGGGGTGTAGTAGTCAGTCAGATTTATTTTGCATGAATCTTAGTTTCCTCATCTGTAAGATGAGAGTAACAACGTATACTCTACAAGGTTTTTCTAACATTTGTGGATAAGAGGTGCAACACGTAAAAATAATGGCACACCATAATCATTATTGTTCATTAATTATCATTATAGATGGTGTTCAATAGATTCTTGTGAATAAATCAGACTTTCATTGATTTAATTGTAGTGGTACATGGACCAGACTTAGAACTGGAAGTCCTGGATTTAAGGCATAGCTTTTCTCACCCATTTGTGACCTTGGAAAAGCCACTTACCTCTCTGCATTTTTTGCATTCTGAACTGTAAAATGTAAATACTAATGACACCTACCTTACAGGAATTTTATAAAATGTAAATGAGATCATCTATGAGGAAATGTTTTATACATACTCAGGCATCATACATTCTAGAACTGTAATGATGCAAAGAAGATTGGCTGGTCCCTCACCTCCAGACTGTGTAGACATCTGTGAAGCATCCCACAAAGTGCTATTGGGTATTCCAATAACACTTTGCTGTTGGTCTTGTCTTGCTTGCTTATATGTTTGACTTTCCAACCAGACTATGAACTGCTTATGATTAAGAATTCTCCTAGTCATTTTTTTAAAAAAAAGATGTTTATTTCTTCTTATATAAGAGTAATACATGCTCACAATAGAGAAAATAGAAATACATGAAGAAAATAAAAATTCTAGTAATTCTTGTCTCTTATTCAAAGATAATCTCTATTAACTTTTTGGTCATGTTTTCTTCTGTGTATATATGTTACAAAACTGATATTATATCACACATTCAAGCACTGTCCCATCATTAAATATCCTTGCATACATGGACTTTACATAAAAATTCTTGCATTTTAGCCATTTTCCTATTGTTGAATATATGTCAATGATACTTTTTTATTATATAAACAAAATAAAACTGTAACAAACATTTTTGTGCATACATATTTGTCTGAATTTCTATTTTTGTAGGAAAAGTTTTTAGAAGGAATATTTTATTTTATTTTTTTTGAGTTGGAGTCTCGGTTGCCCAGACTGGAGTGCAGTGGCCGCTCCTGGCCACCGCAGCCTCGACCTGCTGGGCTCCGGCTATCCTTCCACCTCAGCCTTCCAAGCAGCCGGAATTACAGGTGCGCGCTACCACGCCCGGCTGATTTTTTGATTTATTGTAGAGATGAGGTCTCACTGCCCAGTCGGGTCTCGAACCCGTGGGCTCACGCAATTCACTCACCTTAGCCTCCCAAAGGCGCGGGATTACAGGCTGAGCCACCGAGCCCGGCACAAGGAATATTTTTAAGAGTACAAACTTTTTTTTTGAGTGGAGTCTCACTCTGTTGCCCAGCCTGGGGTGCAGTGGCACACTCACGGCCACTCCAGCTCATGCCTATAATTCCAGCACTTTGGGAGGTGGAGGTAAGAGAATTGAATAAGCTCAGGGGTTCAAGACCAGCCTGAGCAACATGGCAAGACTTCTTCCCTACTATAAAAAACAAAAGAAACCAACTGTGCTGCCCATCAAAAGAGGACTGGATAAAAAAAATGTGGTACTTATACACAATGGAATACTACGCAGCCATAAAGAAGAACAAAATCATGAACTTTGCAGCAACCTGGATGGAATTAGAATGTATAATACTGAGTGGTCTCTCACAGAAACAAAGAGGTCAGTATCACATGTTCTCACTCATAAGTGGATCTTGAACAACTACCGTATTACTATAAGAAAAAGATTGAAAGTGAAAGGAAACTGCAGGGTGGGGGGTAGGGAAGTAGGGAGGTGGGATTGATAGTAGTCGATATCTGCCTGGGGAAGGAGGGTGCACACCTCATCGATAAGGGTACCTGCACGGTGAATATTTGTATACCCAGCCCTGAATTGTACCCCACAATTTTAAATAAAAATTAAAAGAGAAAAAATAAAAGAGGTACCTATTATGTGTCTTGTGTTATGCACAGTGACTAGAATATAATTTTAAAATCTCATAGAAATTAATAAATACTTAAAATACTAGAAAAATGGGCAAGAGGAATGAACAAGTCACAGAAGAAATGTCAGTGGATAATTACTGTATACAAAGTTTTAACCTTGTTCTATGTGGTTTCTATATATAAGAATCCCCATTATAGGTGAGGGTGGAGTCAGATGTACAACCTCACACCTTGTTTGTGGGAGTGGAACCTGGTTCAGCCTTTCAGGAAATCTATTTGAAAGCATTAAAGAATGTTTAAACCAGGCTCAGGGGCTTAGCCTGTAATCCCAGCACTTGGGGAGGCCGAGGTGAGTGGATTGTTTTGCCTGAGTCCATGGGTTCGAGACCAGCCCAGGAAACTTGGCGAGACCTTGTCTCTACAATAAATCAAAAACTAGCCGGGCGTGGTAGCACGCACCTGTAGTTCCAGCTACTTGGAAGGCTGAGGTGGAAGGATCGCTGGAGCCTAGCAGATGGAGGCTGTGGTTGCTGTATCATGCCACTATACTCCAGCCTGGGCAACAGAGTACAATTCTGACTCAAAAAGTCTTGGATTATTAGTTAATTGTCTTGTGAACTTTTTAGGAACCAAAGCAGACTTTCTAGGAGACTAACTCTTTCCTTGTCCCAACCAGGACACAGCTGGGCAGGAGCGGTACCGGACCATCACAACAGCCTATTACCGTGGGGCCATGGGCTTCATTCTGATGTATGACATCACCAATGAGGAGTCCTTCAATGCCGTCCAAGACTGGTACAAGACACATTCATGTTCATTCATTTTTTCATCAAGCTGTTCATGAAAACCTAACATGTGTTAGGCCCTGTGCTGTGTGCCAGAGAAACCCAGATGAATCAGACATGGCTTCTGCCCTCAAGGAGTTCACAGATGAGAGGAGAAGACAGATCAGTGAGCAGGCAAGGAAAATATCATGTGATAGGTGCAGTGGTAAAGAGAGGCAGCAGGGCTGTGGGAAGCCAATGGAGGGCTCTCTGATCCAGTTTAGGGACGGGGCCCTGGAGTTACTGATACATATGCTGCATTTTTGTAAGATGAATAGGAGTTAGCCCAAGGGATGAATGGATAAAATTGTGCTAGAAAAAGAATACAGATGTGCAAAGGTGAGAAGGGAGGTGAGAGGTAGGAAGGACGCAGGCTGTGAAGAATTTTGCATGCTGGTGTAAGGAGTTTGGATTCCATCCCATAGGTGATGACATTTGAATTGGAACCACTGGATTCAGATTCATTTTTAAGAAGATCACCGGAGCTACAGTGGAGAGTGAATCTACATAGCACTTCTCTCTCTCTTTTTTTTTTTTTGAGTTGGAGTCTCACTGCATCACCCAGACTGGAGTTCATTGGCCGCTCCCAGTCACTGCAGCCTTGACCTGCTGGGCTCCGGCGATCCTTCTGCCTCAGCCTTCCAGGTAGCTGGAACTACAGGCGCGCGCTACCATGCCCGGCTGATTTTTTGATTCATTGTAGAGATGCGGTCATGCCAAGTTGCCAAGACGGGTCTCGAACCCACGGGCTCAGGCAATCCACTCACCTCAGCCTCCCAAGGTGTGGGATTACAGGCCGAGCCACTGAGCCCGGCAGCACTTCTCTTTGAAGTCTACTCCTGGGCTGCACTGGGAGTCCAAGAGCACATCTAGTCCAAGTTCTTAAAGGTTCCATATGCAACAGAAGTCAGGACAGCACCCCAGAGGTATAACCTTGAGTTGTCTTTCCTCCTGGAGCATCATTCATAGAAGGGAGCATGAAGGGCAATACACGGGAAAGGGAAGGGCCAGGACCCAGTACCCTGATCAGATGAGGATGGGGGCTGTTCTTTAAAATCAGAGAGGCTGAGCAGTCCAGGTACATTGCAGCAGTGCTGGCCAGGGCTGAGCTTGTCTCCTGCTGCCTTTGCCCAACAGCTACCCTTGGAGGACTGCCCTTCTCCCAAGGAACAGTTGCCTGGTTATGTGAAGTTTTGTTGGCAACTTGGAGACTTGAGCTAAGTATGATTGGCAGGCTGCCTGCTGCACTGCCCTGTTTTAACCCACAGTCCAGGCTGCTTTCAGTGTGTCTGTCATTCGTGGGGTCTGTGTTCTCCTTTTCTGCCTCTCAGTCTCCTCTTCTTCCTTCTTTCTTTTTAACAACTTCTTCTTCTTCCCACCTTTCTTCTTTTTTCCTTTCCTCCCTCTCTTTTCTCTTCCCCTTCCCTTTTCTCTCTCCAGTCATGATTTTTCTCCCTTCCTCTTCTGCTCTCTCCCCCCCCCTCCATCGTCTCTCTCTCACTGCACCTCCCCTGGAGTGATCAGCTCCCTCTTTAAGTGTCTCCACACAGAATGATCCCCGATGGCCTTGACCTCCTTCCCTCTTCCCCATCAGTCTCTGTCCATTCTGCCTCAGGAACACGGTGACTTTAACACCTGATGACAATTCCTCCAAGAATAACCTGAGTTTGTTGCTAATCTGGAGCTGAGAGGAAATGGGGTGGGGTGGGGGGACATGAAAGGAAGAGCAGCATGAGAGATAAGGAGAGCTGGCTCCAGTTACCTCTGATCTGAAGACTGAGTGTCTGTCTCCAGTGCTGGCCTTTGAGTTTTGCCTCTGGGTGACTTGGTCCCAGCCTAGCTCCTAGCTTTCATCCAAGTCCCAGTGCTTAGAAGGGGATCTGGCTTTTTGCAGGCCCACAGCAGATGGTGGTCGAGTAAACTGCAAGCTTTGAGGAAATATAGCTTTTCATCATAGATGAGAAGATTGGTGGTGGGAAACCATTGCCGACATTTTGGCTTCTGCAAATAATCATCATCTAAGTTTAAGAGCAGAGTCAGTACTAGGTCCAAGTTGCAATTAGGGTTGAGTGAGATTGAGTGTCAGTGTCAGCTTCAAGATCTGCTTCAGGATGAACTATTCACTGGCTAATTCATCCATCAAACATTCACTGGCACCTTCTCTGCTCTGTGTTCTGTGCTGGGTGTTGGCATCCCAAAGATGAATAAACTTGTCCCAGCCCTCAGGGAGAGACAGATAAATCTGACCAAGTGCTCTAGGTGTTATGATAAGTGTGCAGGAGACCAAAAGAGGAAGTCATCATTTCCACCTAAAGTCAGGGAGAACCAGGCCCGTCCTCACAAAGAATTATCTCCACAATGAAGAATACAATAAATACAATTGTATTCCCTCTGGGAATATTTTGCTTTTAATTATAGAAATAATACATGCTCACTTTCAAAATAATTTTAAAGTGCAAGTATTTGAAAAGCATTTTTTAAAAGTCTCATCATCATCTTATGTGATGGAAACCACTGCTGATATTTTGGTTTCTGCAAGTAATCATAATCTAAGGCTTCTGTGAATGTTTATGAATCGCGGAAGAGGAGGTGGAGGCTAGTTGGATCTAGAGAAGCTTGAGAAGGGATCAGCACTGGACCGTGGAAGATGACTTTGTTGTGGAGAAGGGATTCCCAGTACAAGCAAAGGCACAAGCCATTGGAGAGCTTTTGGGGGGAATGAGAGAGGTTTGGGAGGTGGGAGGAAGGGTGATGAGGCCAGAGAGATGGGACACGAGTGGTCTTGAACTGAGGAATCTGGAATATGACACACTGTGATCAGATACATGTTTTAGAAAGAGCTTTCTGTCCAGTGAGGAGAAGGATGACCACATTAGAAGAGGCCTTCAAAGAATGGGCAAGGTTTGCAACCAGGGTTTAGGGGCCAGTGTCTATGACAGACAGTAAGGGCAAGTATCTGTCTGTCGGTCAGTCCTCAGCTGAATTAATTGGCAGCCACTTGAGTGTTGCTAGTCCTCTGGAAGAGAAACTACTTCTTCAAACTTCAAAGCTCTCTTTCTGACCTAGGAGGGTGTGTGTGTGTCTTAGTAAGTTTGGTTTGCTATAACAAGATACCCTAGACCAGTGGCTGAAATGGCAAGCATTTATTTATCACAGTTCTGAAGCTAGGAAGTCTGAGATCAAAGCACCAGCAGATCCAATACCTGGAGACAGCCACATTCTTGTATTCTCACATGGCCAAGAGAGAAAGAGAGTTCTAGTCTCTTTTTCTTCTTATAAGGACACTAATCTCATTTATTAGGGATATATCCTCATCACATAATTACCTCCCAAATGCCATCACATTGGGGATTAGGCTTCAACATGTGAATTTGGGGGGGAGCGACACAGACATTCAGTCTAGCAATGTGATTAATACATCTCTCAACTCGGTCTCTTTTTAGGGCTACTCAGATCAAGACCTACTCCTGGGACAATGCTCAGGTTATTCTGGTGGGGAACAAGTGTGATATGGAGGAAGAGAGGGTTGTTCCCACTGAGAAGGGCCGGCTCCTCGCAGAGCAGCTTGGTAGGTACATGACACATGTGTATGCATGTATGTATGTGCACATGTGCTCATGGGAATGGGGCAGACACAGGGGACAAATGTGTGTTTGTATTTGTGACATTATGGTGTGTTTTGATTATGAATTTTGTACCTATATGATCTGTGTGTATTTTACATTTGTATAATGTACGTATGGACTTTGTGCTTACAAATTTTAGATCATCACTTTTGATATGTATATATTTTGTTATGTTGAACATATAAGTAAATTTTAAATTTATGAATTCTCTTTTTTTAACCAGCACCTTCCACAAAGGATTTGAAGTGTCTTATAAAAATCATCATAGTACAATAAGACAAAAAATAAATAAGTGAGAAAATTGGAGCAAAGGAAATGCAAGGGTGGGAGGAAAATCAGAGGAAGCTGGGGAGAGATAAATATGTAGGTTATAAATTCTTGGTACCTGCAAGAGTTGGGCTACAATATTGCTTTTGAGCTCCCTAGCAACCATTGCAAAGGGGGAAACATAATCAGTTACATAGTTGTTCAGAATATCCTAATATAAAAACAAATCTGTTATTTCAGAGAAGCACTGCTCTTCATTGGCAACTACAGAGTAGACTCTGTATGCTGTATGTGACCATGTCCTTCATATCAAACTTCTTTCTAGCAACTGCAACACTGAGTATTGTATGCTGTTTCTTTTTTTTTTTTTTGAGTTGGAGTCTCACTCTGTCACCCAGACTGGAATGCAGTGGCCACTCCCAGCCACCGCAGCCTCGACCTGCTGGGCTCCGGCGATCCTTCCGCCTCAGCCTTCCATGTAGCTGGATCTACAGGCGTGTGCTACCACGCCCAGCTAATTTTTTGATTTATTGTAGAGATGAGGTCTTGCCAAGTTGCCCAGGCGGGTCTCGAACCCGCGGGCTCAGGCAATCCTCTCACCTCAGACTCCCAAAGTGCTGGGATTACAGGCTGAGCCACTGAGCCCGGCTATATGCTATTTCTTACAGTGTGCTGTTTCTCAATGCAAACTGATGTTTCTCACAAATATACATACACAACAAAAGTAATTGTATAAAGGGATCAAACTATATGGTTCAAGTATGCAGCTCTGAATTTTTCTAAGGTTAAAGCATTCTGGTCACTGTGCTCCACTGAGGCCCAGGTGCCCAGGCAAGTCTCAGTGGCTCCAGAGCAGAACCCCTACCTACCTTTGCCTGAAAGAATAGCTTTGATTGTATTTTACATATTGGTGTTTAATATAAGATTGCTTTACAGAAAGAGTTCCATGCCTACGGAACATTTAAAATCTTCCTCTAGAATGTATGTACTGCTTAGCTTTTAGCCAGTCTCCTCAAGTATGTCTCACATTCTAGGTATTGTGAGTATTGAGGAGTATCCACTCCCTGACAGTTGCTGAAATACAGATATTTGGGCAGGTAGGTAGGTGATTGGTATAAGATACAAGTGAGAATTGTGTACTGTATATATCTGTAGTATGTATATTAGGAGTATGTGTTTATGTGTGTGTGTCCTGTGCTTCTTTCTCCCCATTTCTATTCCCCAAGTTGACCTGTAAACGGTAGCAAACTGTAAGTGCTTAATAAGCAGGGAGGTTGGGTCATCTTGGGTCTTGCTGTTCCGACCCGATCACAGAGGTTCTCAGAGTCCAGAAAGTGCCTCCTTTTGGTCCACAACAAGTATGTGGTGAAGCCTATGCTTCAATAACGTCAGGCTTTTCCTCCTTGCCCTCTGCCCACAGTTCCCAGGGAGACTCCCAGTACCTCTTCTGGCCCGACTATATTTCATCTGCTTGAAATACTCTCTTCTACTCCCCATCTGCTGCGCTCACCCAGCTAGTGAGCTTCTACTCAGCTTCCAACATAGCTCGAGCTTCATGTCTTCCATGAAGCCTTTCCAGCCCCCCAGAGCTCCTTCCTTGGTGCCCCACTTCATGCCCTGTCTATGCAACAGTCAGAGTACCTGTCTCCCTTGGATGTACTTGTTTCCTCGTCTATCTCCTGAAAGCACCTTGAAGACAGGAAATGAGTCTTCTTTATCTTTGTACCCACAGTACCTAGCATATGGCCTGGCACTGAGTAGACATGCAAAAATATGTTTTCATTACATTTTATGATGTCAAGTATTTGGCTACTTTATTTTGTTGTGCAATGAAGACTGCCTAAGCACCAACTCTGCCACGTACTGTGCTATGAAACAGGATACATTCCCTGGTTTGAACAAGCTCGATCTAGGGAGAGAGCAGACAGAAACAGTGATAGCCCAGGTGATCAGGGCTGTGACAGAGGGATGTACGGAGGATTAGGGAAGCATAGAGGAAGCACCTGATTCAGCTGGGAGCAGAGAACGTGATGCCCAAGTGGCATCCTGGAAACAAGCAGGACCAGTCAAGTAAGGAGGAGAAACAAGGACATTTCAGGCAGGGGCATAGCACTGAGACACGGAGCAGCTCTGTGGTTCAGGGAACCATAGATCACTGGATAATGTGAGCCTGGAGTAGGTGTTGCCCAAAGAGAGGGATGCATGCCACTGGAACTGTACAAGATGATTTCATGCATTTATTTTGATGTGTATTAAAAAATAATAGGAGCTGGGCATGGTGTCTCATGTCTGTAACCCCAGAACTTTGGGAGGCTGAGGTGAAAGGTTCACCTGGAAAGTCAAGGCTGTGGCGAGCCCTGATCATGCTACTGCACTCCAGCCTGGGTGACAGAGTGAGACCCCAACTAAAAAATAAAAATAAAAATAAAATAAAAAAAATAAAATAGAACCAATGTGTCAAGACTTTAGAGTTAAACAAGACCAAGTTTCTAAAAGGTGAGTTAGTTTTATATTAGGAAAAAATATATTCCATCCTGCCTTTCAGAAGAGATATGTATGTATCTAGCATGTCATGCCCTTATGACTAAGATTTTTTAAAGGTGAGTTGGTTGAACACTTATTAGGTGCTTACCATGTGTCAGGCATTATTCTAAGTGTTTTGAAGTATTATTCTTTTAATTTAATTCCCCTAAAACCTTCCAAGATATATATTTTTCTTATTTCCACATTTTGTGTGTGTTTTTTTAACTTATGAGAAAAATGAGACACAGGAAGTTAAGTGACTTGTTCAAGTGCACATAGCTAGTAAGAGAGCAGAACAGACCAAGTGTGGTGGTTCAAGCCTGTAACTCAGCACTTTGGGAGGCCGAGGTGAGGGGATTACCTGAGCCCACGGGTTTGAGAACAGCCTAGATAACTTGGTGAGACCTCATCTCTACAGTAAAAAATCAAAAAATTAGGCAGGCGTGGTAGCGCACGCCTGTAGTTCCAGCTGCTCAGATGACTGAGGCAGAAGGATCACCTGAGTCCAGCAGATCAACACTGGGGTGGCCATGAGCATGTCACTGCACCCCAGCCTGGGTGACAGAGTGAGACTGACTCAAGAAAAAAAAAAAGAGAGAGCAGAACCAAGATTTAGACCCATGTGGTAGCCCAGCTCCAGAGCCTGTCTGTGCTCCCTACCACTTAACCTTAATATATAGCAAATATGGTCATAAAAGCTGATAAATATAGGACCAGACACTATGTGAAATGTTTAGCATTAATTATCTCATTTACTTCTCTCTGTAACCCTTCAAGGTTGGAACTATAGGGCGTGTCTAGTACTCTGAAAAATGAGGTTTAGAGAGGCTAAATAACTTGGTCAAGCTTATACTGTTAGAAAGTGGTGGAGTTGCCGGGTGCAGTGGCTCATGTCTGTGATACCAATGCTTTGAGATGCCAAGGTGGGAGGATTGCTTGAGCTCAGGAGTTTGATACCAGCCTGGGCAACATAGCAAGACCTCTTCTCTACAAAAAATCAAAAAATATTAGCCAGTCATGGTAGCATGTGCCAGGAGTCCCTGCTACTCGAGAGGCTGAGATGGGAGGATCACTTGAGCCAGGAATTGGAGGTTGTGGTGATCCATGATTATGCCACTGCATTCCAGCCTGGAATGAGACTCCAGCTCAAAAAAAAAGAGAGAGAGAAAGAAGGAGAAAGTAGTGGAGTCAGTATAGATCTATCAAGTTTGTATAGGAACAGGTGAAATGCAATCTTAGTGCAGTGTTTAGGCACTTGAAGAAAGACTTTAATTAATTGGCTAGATTTGAGCAGGTCAAGATAACCCTTCTCTGTCCAACACAACTTCCTGAACTATTCTCTGTTGATGACAAGAACTTGCCTGTTTACATGTTTATCTCTTCCTGGACCTTAAAAGCAGGAATTATGTCTGATTTGTTTCATTATCCCAAGCACCCAGGATAGGGTAGATATTCATTAATACATTTTACTTATTCAGTGAAAAATATTTAATATACAGCAAATATGGTCATAAACGCTGATATATATAGGATCAGACACTTCTGTCCTGGCACTTAGGATATAACTAATGATTAACAAATAGCTGTGATTCTTACTATCATAGAACTAATGGGACTAATGAGAAAAAAAGACATTCAACAAATACTTATACAAATAAATATATAATTAAACATTGTAAATGGGCAAATTTTATGGTATGTGAGTTGCATCTCAAGATAGGTGTTAAAATTGTGATAAGTTCTTTTGAGTTAGGACACATTATTGTAAGTGATAAAATTCTAAATCAAACTAGCTTTAAGTAAAAAAAATAAAATGTACTAGCTCCTGTGACTGGGAAGTCCACTAGACCCAGGATTCAATTTCACTCTCCATCTCTCAACTTTTTGTATCCCCTCAGCCTTCATCTATAACAGGTTCATAGCTTCTCAATTCCTGCAAAAAGAGGACTTCTCTCTCTCAACCACTATCCCAGGGAAGACTATGATCAGTCACCTGTACGTCACATGCCCACCCTAGTGGCTGGGGGAGGCAAGTATGAGAATTTATAGTCCCACAATAACTGTTTAAAATGGTGGTTCCCGGCCAGGTGCCGTAGCTCATGCTTGTAATCCCAGCACTTTGGGAGGCCGAGGCAGGAGGATGGCTTGAGCC